TCCAGTCTTTCCAGAGGCAGCAGCTCCCTCACAGTGCTGTCCCAGAGGACTGTGGCAGATTGCAAACATGCTCAGCACAATCATACCATCCCAATTAGCATAATGATGCTGCCTAATTTATGCACAAATTGCCCTAATTTATGTGTGTCGATACATATGATTAAACCAAGCACAGGTGGAACAGGGTTTGGGCTCGCCCAACCAACAAAGCATAAAGCTGTGTCCATCCCAAAAATGTGTGAAATGGCCAAAATTTCTTCTCCCTGCTGCTAAAATATGGAGCTTTGTGTTGTTTTGCTCTGGCAGCAGCAAGGGGTGTGGGGCAGGACTAAACTCGTGGCAGGAGGTAAGAGAATAAAAGATTCCTGGGCTGAGATTTGCATGGATTAAAGGCAGCTTTAATTTGCTGTGATACACTTGGATTTCAGGTGGATTAAGAGGCGGCAGGATTTGGGGCTGTCTAGCCAACTAATACCTGCCTTACTTCTATTTTAATTATTTTAATATGGGATGGAGGAGCCCTAGGACTGAGCCACCTTGGCCACCCCCTGATCTTGCACATTTCCGTGTGTAATGTTTTGCACCATTAATGTTCTGGATTAACAAAACTGCTGTTGTCATCTGAATTCCCAAAGCACTTTCTCAGCAGGGTTCATCCAAAAGAGACCTCTTAGATTGTGACCTTATATTCCTCATGTTTAGAAAAGCAATGTTGTTGCACTGTAAAATTATTCCATAGACTCACAAAATGGTTTGGGTTGGAAGGGACCCCAAAGATCATCTAGTTCCAACCCCCTGCCATGGGCAGGGACACCTCCCACTAGACCAGGTTGCTCCAAGCCCCATCCAGCCTGGCCTTGAACACAGGCAGGTTGATCCAGCAGCATAAAAATCACAGAATTGTTTTAAGTTGGAAAAACCCCTCTAAGACCATCGAGTCAAACCATTCCCCCAGCACTGCCAAGGCCACCACTAAACCATGTCCTCAAGTGCCACATCTGCACAGCTTTTGAATCCCTCCAGGGATGGTGACTCTACCACTGCCTTGATAACACCACTTATTTCTTTGCTGCACATGGATCTCCATCCCCTACCTCAAGACCAAATGACCTCGCTAGCACACCATCCCTCAAGCAGTGGCATGGTGCCTCAGGCTTATCTCTAAGTGAACCTGGTTTGATCCTTTTCCCTCTTCAGATCTGGTTTAAAACTCTTTCCATGAGCTTTGCTCATGGATCCTTTTCCTCCTTGAGGCCAGGCATACCTCACCTGTAGCCAGCAGGCCTGGTGTTGTGTAAACTGAACTGTGGTCAAAAAAACCTAAATTCTGTTCAGGTTGTTTGCATTTCTCATTCTGGGTGCCTGCTGGTCCAGCATGTCCGCCAAAGTATTCATTCCCACTTTGGAGTGCTTGTTTGCTGTGTAGAGCATCATGACCCAGCAGTGGAGGTTTAGCAGCTTGGTGGAGTGGGTAGAGCAGGGTATGAGGCTCTGAACTGGGTTTGGGTTCATACTGGAAGATACTTGGCTGCTGAGTCCATTACTGAAGCTCTTTCTGAAGCAGCTTTATGTTACAGCATTGTCCAGAACTACATGGATCAGGTCAGTGTTGGGTTTCCCAGTGCTGCTGGGCTTGGAAAGCTGAATTTTGGCTGTGGAGAATAGGAGCTCCTTCCTGTATGCAGCGTGCCTTCCTTACTGCTGGTGTGTCGTAACAGCGTATACATTCCCTGGGTGAAACTGGTTTCATCCAAAAATATACAACTAGGATATACAAATAATTACAGATAGTAGCCAGAGTATTCCCAAGGCTGGTGGATTGCAGCCACAGCTTACCACAGTCAGCTGACTGCGCTGGATTCTCAGGATCCCACGTTTCAGGAGGATTCTGTGGCAAGAGGATTACAGTGCTGGCACATCAGGGCACACTGGGGTCAAGACAAGGCAGATGAGTGGAAAGGCTTGTGTGGGGCCAGGGCTGGGTGAGCAGAGTGTGGGACACAGCACCTCTTCTCAGCTCTGTGCTGCACTGGCTCTTTGGCAATGGTGTTTCCTTTCCACACAAGTCATGACTCATTTCTGAGAACAGCTGCGGCTGTAAGATACTCGAGTAAGTATGTACAACATAAGATGTTTCTACTCTGACATTCTGGAGAGACTTGAGTGCCTACACCACACTCTGTACCTGTCACAAGGGATGAGGGTTTGAGTCACTGCAAGTCATGCAACATAAATTCCCCTCTTCTCCCAGCACTGATCTGTTTTTACAACCATCTGAAGACACAGCTTGCTCTGCACCCTGCTCAGGCGTGTGCCACTGACATTTATAAGCTCTTTTATTTTCAGTCTGTCTTTGCACTTGTTGTTTTTTATCTCCCTGTGTACGTTTTCCTGTCAGCAGGATGTTGTCCTTGTCTTGCAAGGAGCTGTGAGCATACATGTATCTTGCTCCAAGCTTTGGAAAAACTCAGCTTCATTGCTGATTGCCTTTGAACTCTTAGATGATACTAGGAACATCAGGGAAGTTGGAGAAAACGAGGCTTCAGGGAGACCTTCTAGCACCTCCCAGTTCCTAAAGGGGCTCCAAGAGAGCTGGAGAGGGACTTTGGACAGGGGCCTGTAGGGACAGGACAAGGGGGAATGGCTTCCCACTGACAGAGGGCAGGGTTAGATGGGATATTGGGAAGAAATTCTTCCCTGTGAGGGTGCTGAGGCACTGGCACAGGTTGCCTAGAGAAGCTGTGTCTGCCCCATCCCTGGAAGTGTTCACAGCCATGTTGGATGGGGCTTGGAGCAACCTGGTCTAGTGGAAGGTGTCCCTGCCCATGGCAGGGGGATGGAACTCAGTGGTCTTTAAGTTCCCTTCCAACACAAACCATTCTATGATTCCATGTTCTGTGTAGAGGGGCTCTTCCTTCCATCAAGGCTTTGTGAAGCGAGAGTTGAATGCAAACTCTTCCAAATTCTCTTGCACATAGCACTGTCCAAGGCGTCATTTGGAATCCTGCAGCTCTGTGAACAAAGGAATAAATTGACCATGAAAGCATTGACAGCAAAATTGCTTATGTCAACTTCCTGATTTGATCGCATAAAATTTACCCCTATGTTTAAATGCATGGAGCTAACTGAAGGAGGGACGGGCCTCACCCCAATTGCAAAGGGAGGAGAGGACAGGCTCAAGGCTGGACTGCATCTCTGCAGCCCTCAGACCCCTCTGCCCTGGGACAGCAGTGTTCCTGGGAAATGCTGGGAAACACTGGATCATAAGGAAGAAAATGTAAGTGGTACTGGGAGACCAGCAGATTTGGCACATCTGGGGATCACTTGCTTTGAGCCAGAGACAGGAGAAAGCAGAGAAGCCTCAGCTGTTCTCCAGTTCCTTTAAAAATGAAATATTGGGAAAGTTACCCAGTTCTCCTCCTCCCTGCCAGACCCAATGTCTTTTAATCTTCGCTCTCAGCTTCTGTTACACTGGGAGTTGCTGGTGGTCTGCTGGGGTTAGCAGCGATTCTGGCACACTCAGAGCAGACGTGATCTCCAGGTCTCATTGCTTTGAAGCTCCTGGTTCTATCACACTCGACTAAATCAGATTTTTTCTTCTCTGTGGAGGCAGAAATGAGCTCTGTGTGCCCATCTGATTGAAGTGCTGGGGCTTGTCTAATTGAACAAGTGCTCAAGTCAACACTTGAGCAGGATGAAAAACAGTGAGGAGATCACCCAGGGATTATGTCTGAGCTCCGCAGCTCTTGGCAACACTGGAGCAGATGGCTGGGTCACATCCTGCCCACGGCTGGGCAGAAAAGATGTTGATAGGAAAAAAATATTAATTTGGTTAAATATATTCAATTCTAAATCTAGAAGTGCCTCAGGTCTCTAATTTTGTACTTTATAGCAGCAGCCCAGAGATGGGATTAGTTGCGGGTTGGCTCTGCAGACTCCTGTAAGGAGCCACAGCTGCCTCAAAGCTGATGTAGGGGAAATATTTTGGGAGGGGGAACAGAGATGCAGGGGGTGGGAGCAACTTGGCTAATCCTGTAAAAGTGGGGAACAGCCAGGAGCAGCCTGTGAGTGAACTGTGAGCCCCTGTGGTGTGGCTGCACTGATGGAACTAGAAATCCAAGTCAGAGAGCTGGTGGGGAGGGAGGTGTTTGTGCAGAGATGTGAGAACATCACAAGCATCCCTGCAGGTCACCTGAACCACAGGGACAAGCTTCACAGAATCACAGAATCTGCAGAGTTGGAAAGGACCCACAAGGATCATTGAGTCCAACTTTTGACCCTGCATGGGACATCTCTGAGAATCACACCATGTGCCTGAGAGCATCATCCAACTTGAGCTCTGTCAGGCTTGGTGCTGTGACCTTTAGGATTTCACTTGATCCTACAGCCAAAGTCTGTATCCAGAGAGGTTTGGCCTTGGAGAAGTCACTGGTGGCTGTCTCATGGGTACATGGCCATCAGAAGTCCTGGTGACCACCATGTGGCTTGCTTTCCCCTTCCCTCGGGGTGGGAATAAATGAACACACATATAACTGCTTTTCCAAAAACCCAAACCGCTTCTGTCTAGGGAAATACAGCCACAGAGGAGCCCAAGGTGGTTGTGGTGCCTTCAATACTATAGAAATCATCTATTTCCTCTTGCTGTGGACCCTCTGAAACTTTACTTATCCCTAACAGCAGTGCTTGTGTCAGGCCAAGATGGGAACATCAGAGTCCCCTTCTCATCCATAACTGCAGCTGCTGCCCTGTAATTCCCTGCTGCCACCTCTGCCCAAAAGCACTTTTAACCCTGGAAGCTCCCACAATTTTGTTTTCTGTATTTAAAAGTTATTTTCTTTTTTTTTTCAAGTGTTTCTCTAGCTTGAGCAATAATGAAAAGCAGCATTTTGCAGTTGGTAAAATGAAGTGAAATATCCTTGCTGGCAGCAGGAAAAATTCTGTTTTCCAAAGATGTTGCTGGATTTTAACTCTTTGGTAACTCTGGTTTGGTTTGTTTGCAGGGGGCACCACTGGAAGAACCTTTATGGGCTCCTGATGACATGCAGGTGGACGACTGACTTATGATAATTAAGGTAGGATGCAGTGCTGTCACTTTTGGCATCTTCTCTTTTGTCCTGTCCTTGAAATAAAATCACTCTGGCCTGTGGCCCGATAGTCATTGCTCTACTTTGGGGTTCGGTATACAGGGATGGCACTATGGCCAAGCTTTAACTTGTGTTAAAGTGTCCCTTTAAACACAGAGGGAAGGGAAATCTTATTTAAGAACTACCTGGGAACGAAACTAAGTGGAAAAAATCTGACTTCCTACCCCAAAGGATAATAAGGTCTCTGTTGGTGCAGAGTTGGAAGGGACATGACTCTTATTTGAGAGTACTCAGCACAGGGATTTTTTTGTTCTGCTGAAACCCAGTGGTTGAGTTGGAATTCAGGTTCTAACTTGCCATCTCAAAGAAAAAAAAAAACCAACCTAAAAATATATTTTATTCATTTATTTTCATCTTCTTGAGCTTCTGTGGAAAGCTGGTCCATCTCCAAAGGTGGCAAGAGAGTACTCAATTCTTCGCTGATGAAACAGAGGAAAATCCCTGATGTTAGAAGCACTAAACCTTTGGACAAACTCTGAGGAGAAAATACAACTGTGTGTGGAGTTAACTGGATTTATAAGCAGGTTTTATGCTGCTTTAATATCTGGATTTGTGCCTTACTGGGTCATTTCTGCCATAGTGGGTGTGCTCAGAGGCGTCATCAGGGCACTGCGATGGTCACTGCTGATCTCTGCCTCTTCTTGCAGTAGCGAAGAGGATCTGCACCTCTTAGGTGTCACCATGGAGACTCCCAAATGTCTACTGTGACAGAGGCTTTGTTTTCTGTCACAGCTGGGGTTTTCACTTCTGATTAACGGGTGCAATTAGTGCCTTGGTTGGTGTTTGGTATCAGTGAAGAGTTGTTGGAAGGAAAGGGGGAAATTCAAGCTGTAACAAGAGCAAATTCTTTTAGTAGGGGTTTACTGTTCTCCAATATATTTGTGCTTTTTGTTTGGCTTGTGATAAGATGCACTACTGTGGAATTTGCTTGGAGCAGGGATTTGCATGAATTATTGTTTCTTACAAAATGCACATCTGTGCAAGGCTTCTCCCCGTGCTCCGCAGTACCCAACACCCGCCGGAGAAGGATCTGGGTGCCAGCGGTCAGCAAAAGCCAAGTGCCTGGGGGAAGGAAAGGTGAAATGATAGTAACAAAGCTGCTGAAATCCAGGGGAAAACTTCTGGGCTGTGTGACAGCATCAGAATTTGTGTGTTTATGCTACGTGCTGACTTCTTTCCTTCTCATAGAATCACAGAATGTTAACGGGTTGCAATGGACCTTAGCAATTCCAACCCACTGCCCTGGGCAGGGACACCTCCCACCACACCAGGTTGCTCAAGGCTTTATCCAGCCTGGCTTTGAACACTGACAGGACTGGGACATCCACGGCCTCCCTGGGCAACCTGTTCCAGTGTCTCACCACCCTCACAGGAGAATATATCTTGATAATATCTAATCTAAATTTCCCCTATCTCAATTTACACCCACTACTCCTTGCCATTACTCCTCATCCCAGCGGGATTTTTTAAAAGCAACATCCTCCTGTTAGGAAAAACTTGGGACAGTTGTGCTTGGCCTCTTGCAGAACTCATTCTGGTATTTAGAAAGTGTAATGCCATCAGTTGCAGCTGCTGATTGATATAGTGTGGCCCAAAATTACAATTTCCCCTATCTCAATTTACACCCACTACTCCTTGCCATTACTCCTCATCCCAGCGGGATTTTTTAAAAGCAACATCCTCCTGTTAGGAAAAACTTGGGACAGTTGTGCTTGGCCTCTTGCAGAACTCATTCTGGTATTTAGAAAGTGTAATGCCATCAGTTGCAGCTGCTGATTGATATAGTGTGGCCCAAAATTACATGCAAGATGGGAGTAAACAGTCATTATGGATTGTCTCTTGATTCTACACTTAAAGCTTTTCATTTGAAGGGTTTCCCCTTCTCCTAGAGAGATCTTTCTGTAAATTGCTAATTAAGTAAATGAGCTACAGAGTCATCAGTCTGTCTACAAAAAGCAAGAGCTGATGTTTTGGAGAAACCTTCAAGCTGCAGACTCAAATTATCCAGTGTTTAAAATTCCCTTAGTATATTCATAGAAACACAGAATGGTTTGGGCTGGAGGGGACCTTAAAGACCATCTAGTTCCAGCCCCTTGCCATGGACAGCGACACCACTAGCCCAAGTTGCTCAACGCACCATCCAGCCTGGCCTTGAACACTGCCAGGGATGGGGCAGCCACAGCTACTCTGGGCAACATGTCCCAGTGCCTCATCACCCTCACAGGAAAAAATGTCTTCGTAATATCTAATCTAAATTTCCCCTATTTCAATTTATACCCACTACTTCCTAATATCTAATCTAAACTTGCTGTCCTCCAGTTTGAATCCATTCCCCCTTGTCATGTCACTGCATGTTCTTGTAAAATTATGATTTCTCATAGAAATAGGAAGAGCAAGGAAAGAGTCGCTTGAAGTTTGGGTGATTTAAAACCAGGTTTCTGTTTATTTTACTCAAAATTCTACATGGATGCTAAATCAGGTGTCCTCACTTAAAATTTGACTAAACCTGATGGTATTAAATGATTTGCTTTTAATTCTCTGTTGTGTTTTTGTAGACAGTAGAAAAAGTTAAGGTGAATATATTGAGATCTAAAATACTTTGTGTAATGTACTTATTTCCTCAAGAATGGGCTTCGATAAGGGAAAACTGGGAAAATTCCTTCATTTACTGAAATAAATCCCCCTGGCACAGAGCATCAGGGGCAGGTGTGAGCAATGAAGCAGGTGGAGCACCAGTGATCCCACTGTCCCTGAGCCCTCCTGAGTCAGGCAGAGCATTGGTGTGTGTGTGGAAAGCAATCAGCAAGGTGCACAGTGTGACAGAGACATGGCACTGTGTGGAGCTGTCTGCATCTGAGTGTACATAACACTGCCAGAGCTCCCCAAAAGGGCAGAACCCATCCAGGTGTGGAGGGCACAATCATACCGATACCAGTGCAGTGCTGAGCACCGTGTCTGAGATGGGGAGTGCTAAAACCACATTTCTTATTCCAACAAAGCCCATCCAAAACCATTCCCCACCTTTGCACTAACCATATCCTTCCCTGTGCCTCCTCCAGCTGTGTTGCCAGCATTTTTTGGGAGGTGGGAGCCAAGCTGATGTGCCATGTGCATTTGCAGAGGTGCTCAACACAGGTGGTTTCCTTCAGCAGCTCCAACAGTGCCGATCACTGAGCTCTTGTTTTCAGTGCTACCCACAATAACTGAAATATCTTTCCTGCGAGATAAGTCAGTAATTGTGGTTGTCTCCTTCCTCTGGGGTGTGTTCCTGTAGTAACTTGAAATTTGGTTTGTCATCAGGGTGCTGCTGTGCAGCTCTGTCTCCTCCAGCTGTACCCTCCAGTGAGGAGGCACCAGCTGCCAGTGGTTGAACCCTGCACCCTCTTCCTCAAGAACTGCTATTCTGAAAATACAATAGGTTGATCTTCTTCCCAAGTAAATCCAGTTGTGAGCAAACGGCAGGAGATGGAAGAGGAGATGGTAGACCAAGACGCATCACAGTTCTACACTGGTTCATCCTGTTGGCTTTTCCATTGGATGGTGACCAAGCCAAGAAGTGCTTTTTCCCTCAGAAGATTTGCTCCAGTAGTTTTGGTCCAAGCCACGGACATCTTCAGTCCTTCTCAGACCTCTAAAGATTGCTGCCACATTTTGGGACTTGCTGATGTGCAGGCTGACTCTTGGAGTGCATTTTAGAAACACAGAGGTTGCCCTAAGACCAGAAGTCACAAATGAGCTGTGCTCCTAAATCCCATGAGCATTTGTCATAGAATGCTAATTATAGAAGGTTAAGGGGTTGAAATGGACCTTGAAGATCATCTAGTCTCAACACCCTCTGCCATGAGCAGAGACACCTCCCACCACACCAGGTTGCTCAAGGCTTTATCCAACCTGACACTGAACCCTGCCAGGGTTGGGGCATCCACAGCCTTCCTGGGCAACCTGTTCCAGTGTCTCACCATCCTCACAGTTAAAAACTTCTTCCTAATATCTAATCTAAATTTCCCTCTTTCAATTTATGCCCATTGCTCCTCGTCCTATCACTCCAGTTCCTGATGAAGAGTCCCTCTCCAGCATCCCTGGAGCCCCTTCAGGTCCTGGAATGTTTCTCCAAGGTCTCCACTCAACCTTCTCTTCTCCAGGCTGAACAGCCCCAACTCTCTCAGCCTGTCTTTGTAGGAAAGGTGCCCCAATACTCTTATCAGCTTCATGGCCTCCTCTGGACTTGCCCCAACAATTCCATGTCCTTCATGTGTTGGGCACACCAGAACTGTGTGCAGTACTACCACCACTACTACTACTTGTCCCCATCTCTTTCCTATGAAGCTTCAGACTTGAGTTTGATGTCACTGAGCTGACCTGGCCTGATGCCTCCTGAAAAATCCCCTGTGATTTGTGTGAACTGGGACACACAGTGCAGACCCTCAGTACCCAGCACACACCCGCAGTGCTGGCGGTTGGAGCTGAGTGCAGGATGGGCACAGGAAGGAGACAACTGCTTGCAGAAACCACACCAGGCAGCGTGTCAGGACCTGCAGCCCCTACCTTGAGCTGCTGGGTATAAATAAACACATCCACCCTCCCTCTTATTTCTGACAAGTACCTCCCTGAAGAGTAATTTATTTTGTTTTTCAGTAGCTTGTTCTGCAAGCAGGTTTCCTCTTGCAAGTGATTAGGAAAACCTCATTTTTATGTTAATTAGGCATAACTATCAGTGCATAGACATCTACAGCTCTCACATCCTTCTTAGACATGTGATGTTTATTAAAATGCAGTCCTGAAAAACTGATAGCAGCAACTGATGTACCTGTTGCCTGAATCAGATGGGAAACTGCACCAAAACGGTGCTTGCTTCAAATAGACGTTACCAGGGCGTAGCAGCCACAGGTTCAGCTGCCAGTAGGGTTGTCAGCTGTGGTCAGCAGCCT